CTGTGAGTGCATGTGTGTGTTGGAGTGATTCTGTGTGTGTGTGTGTATGTCGGTCAGTGAGTGTTTCTCAGTGAGTGTGAGTGAGAACAGGGTTTAGTAGACAGGGGACTGGGATTTAGTAGACGGGGGGGGACTAAGATTTAGTAGATGAGGGGGGGGACTGGGGATTAGTAAAGGGGGTCGCAGTTTTTTTAATACTGTACTTTTCAAAATAAACCTACCTTTCTATAAAAAATTACATTTTAGTTTTTTTGCAGGCCCACATAAACTTAGACCTTGTTTATTTGGCCCTTGCTAGCCTTTGAGTTTGACATGCTTGGTCTACACTGTCCAGCACGTTTTACAAAAGCACTTGTAGCTCTCAGGAATATAATCATTACCTTCAGGCTTTTTGCTGTAAACACTGTCTTTTCAGATAAAATGCAGTGTTTACATTACAGCCTAGGGACACCTCCACTGGCCACTCCTCAGATGGCTGCAAGAGGTGCTCCCTGGGGCAGTGCTGCACAGTGTGACTAACATTCAGTGTCTCCACCCTCTGCATGGAGACACTGAACTTTCCTCATAGAGATGCATCTCTATGAGGAGCTGCTGATTAGCCAGGGCTGTGTTTGTATTCAAGTTTGCAGCTGTTGGCTCTGCTCCTGATCTGCCTCCTTGACAGTCTCAGCCAATCCCACAATGGGAAAGCATTGTGATTGGCTCAGAGAATAACTTCTGATGATGTCAGCCAAGCAGGCAGATCAGGGGCAAGGCCAGCAGCTGCAGACTTGAATACAAGTAAGATTTTTACTAGATGTGGGGGGGGGGGCGGGCGAGATGGTGGTTACATGATTGGGTCCCTGACACTATAGTGTTCATTTAAATACATATATTTTTTCCAAACAAATTTTGATGCATGATGGCCCTTCTATAATTTCTCAGCATAAAAGAGCTATTTGTCAATATATTAAACTTATGAGTACACGGGGGTGGGAAAATGCAAGAAAAAAAAACCTTCTTTTACTAAGTGCAAGCACATGGAAATTTTATACGTGAGCCAAAGTTATAGTAAAAACAAAAATAATATAGCCTGTCCTCAACAACGTTCTGCCTGCTATTAATATAATTTATTTATACATTACCAACAAATTCCACAGCATCAGATACGATGGGTAAGGTATAATACAAGACTTTACTTAAGAGACAAAGCAATGCACACGGTCTGGAGAACTCAGCCCACAAGCTTACAATCTACAAGGGAATGGACACTAGAGACAATTCTCCCAAATAAAACCCTGAATAATAATGACATAACATTTAAAGGGATGCAGGAGATACAGATGTTGTACATACCTGGCAGAGGTACTCTCACACATCTCACTAGAGTTCCCTTCTCAAAACTGAAATCCGTTTCTGTCAAGTCTATCGTTTTTAGAAAAAAACACAAGCATGAAATGGCTGTAACACTTGTCAGCAGTCTTGACATAATGATCGCAAATTAAATTAAGATTATTAACAAACAGCAATCCCGAGGTGACTGCAGTCTTTATGTATTCACATGGCCTGATCTGGTATTTACAGCATGGAAGAAATCTCGATAGAGGACGAGGTTTAAACGTTCATGACATGTAACAGCGCTGGTTAATATATGGAGATCTCTGTCTTCAATTCAGTTAATACCACTGCAGGTGGTGTGTACTTTTAATTGCTGTATCACAACCAGAATAACAAATCGCACACTGATTTAGTTACATGTGAGCCCCAACTATAGTTTTATTTAATGATCTCTCAATGCCAGGGCGAAGGAGCAGAAGGATTGTAATGCATTGTCATCTTCGTGCCAAAAGAATCACAATAAACGTTGCCCTCATCCTTCTTATTGGATGTTATTCAGACAAGCACCGAGTTTGGGTGCACTCTGTGATTTTTGTCTCTCCAAATTCTTTACAGTAAATGAATATATAGAACAATGAAGGAGAGAGAGGTGCTGCAAATAGCAGAGTACACTGTAATAATAATGTATTAATTTATAATTGGCATCCCTCTTTGACAGGGTCAGGTATAGTGCACTGCAGGGATAAACGAAGTGTCCATGGCAAGATTTGTTAAGGTCCATAGAATATCATTAAAGGGATTCTTTAGTGTAAGGAATACAAAACTGTATTGCTAACACTATAGTTAGTTCCCCCTGCCTACCCCAGCCAAAAAAAAGGGTTAAAAACACTTACTTTGATTATCCGATCACAGCGCCGATGTTCCTCGGGTGCTGGGTTGGCGCTCCGCATCCTCTGATGTCATCTGACCTAATGTGCATGCATATCGAGTTTCATGAGCCCTTCATATAGGAAAGCATTGAATCAGGGTTTCTTATAGGGTTTTCACTACGCTGAATGTCCTCGTATGACCAATAGTTGCCTAGTAAGCAGGAAGCGCTTCTAGTGGCTGTCTGCTTGACAGCCACTAGAGGCAGTCTTAGTCCTGCAATGCAATCATTGCAGAAATAAGGGCAATAGGAACACTGTACCCAGACCAGTTCAATTAGCTAATGTGGTCTGGGTGCCTATAGTATCCCTTTAACCCCTTAAGGACACATGACATGTGTGACATGTCATGATTCCCTTTTATTCTAGAAGTTTGGTCCTTAAGGGGTTAAATTGTCTGCAACAGACCCCAGTAAATGTCCACCATGAGCAATGTTGGGGACTACCCTTGGTACAGTGCATCGTTTTCACCTTTCAGAAAATATAACATGCACAAGCATATATTCACTTATTATTGGTATTTATATAGCACCAACTTATTTCACTGCTATTTACAAAATACTTACATACACACATATACATATATTAAAACTTGTGCATACATATGCACACTCGCATACACAAGCATATACATGCACACACATCTTGGCAGATACAGTTTATTTTTGCAAGACATGTATATGATTATGTTGAGAGAGTGAATGCAAGAATAATGAACAATAATTTACCTCTTCTTTCCTCATATCTCAAAGATGAAAAGGTCAGATGGAAACATGTGCTGCTGCTGCTGCAACTGACCTTTTCTTCTTTACAGGGACACTATAGTCACCAGAACAACTACAGCTTATTATATTTGTTCTGGTGAGTAGAATCGTTCCCTGCAGGCTTTTTGCAGAAAACACTGTTTTTTTTTTTTGTTTAAATTTTAGAGAAAATGCAGTGTTTACATTACAGCCTACATCACTGCCCACTCCTCAGATGGCTATTAGAGATGCTTCCTAGGGTAGTGCTGCACAGTGTGACTGACATTCAGTGTATCCACCCTCTACATGCAGTAACTGAACTTCCTTTATATAGTGCATTGATTCAATCAGGGCCGGACTGGGGATACAAAGCAGCCCTGGAAAAAAATGTATGCTAGTCCCATATATGCTTTTTTTTCTAATTCAAAATATTGTTCATTTCAGTTTAAAAAATAGTAAACATTAAGCATACTTCCAAGCATACACACACAATCTCACTGACATAATCATAATAATAAAGTATTTAACTAGGAGAGGTATTTTCAGATAACTCTGGTTTTCAAGTACGTCCTGGGGTGTCATTGATACACATAGGCCCACTGACACACACAGACAAGCTTACTGGTACACACATACAAACGTAGTACAGACAAACGCTGGTACACACAAAAACTTACTACAGATAAACTCACTTGTATACACAGTGAAGCATAATACAGACAGACTCATTGGTATACAAACAGAAGCTAACTACAGACAAATTTACTGTCACAAACATGCTCACTACTGACAGCTCACTGACACAAACTCACTACAGATAAGCTCACTCTCACACACATACTCTCTACAGACCTGCTCTCTGACAAACACACTCACTACAGACAAGCTGACTGACACACATGTTCACTACAAACAATCTTACTGACAAACACATGCTGCCTACAGACAAGCTCACTGACACACACATGCTTACTACAGCCAAGCTCACTGACACACACATGCTCACTAGACAAGTTGTCACACACATGCTCACTACAGACAAGTTCACTGACAAACACATGCTCACCACAGACAAGCTCACTGTCATATACATGCTTACTATGGACAAGTTCACTGACACGCACATGCTCACCACAGACAAGCTCACTGTCATATACATGCTTACTATGGACCAGTTCACTGTCACACACATGCTCACTACAGACAAGCTCAATGTCACACACATGTCACTACAGACAACCTGACTGACACATGCTCACTAGACAAGCACACTGACAAACACATGCTGCCTACAGACAAGCTCACTGACATACACGTGCTTACTACAGAAAATCTCACTGGCGCATTCTCACTAGACAAGCTCATTGACACACGCACTGCCTACAGACAAGCTCACTGACATACACATGCTCACTACAGATAAGCTCACTGACAAACAGGCATCCTACAGACAAGCTCACTGACACATACAAGCTCACTACAGACAAGCTCACTGACACACAATCTCACTACAGACAAACTCAGTAGACAAGCTCACTGACACACATATACTTAATACAGACAAGCTCACTGACACATGCTTACTAGACAAGCTAATTGACACACATGCTTACTACAGACAAGCTCACTACATACAAACTCACAGTCACACACATGCTCGCTAGAGACAGGCTCACTGACACACAAACGTACTATAGATAAGCTCACTGACACACACATGCTCACGACAGACAAGCTCACTCTCACACACATGCTCACTACAGACAAGCTCACTGACACACAAACATACTACAGACAAGCTCACAACACACACATTCACTACAAACAAGCCTACTGACAAACACATGCTCACTAGACAAGCTAATTGACTCACACATGCTTACTACAGACAAGCTCATTACATACAAACTCACTGTCACACACATAACACATGCTCACTACAGACAAACTCACTAGACAAGCTCACTGACACACATATGCTTCCTACGGACAAGCCCACTGACACATGCTTACTAGACAAGTTCACTGACACACAAACTTACTACAGATAAGCTCACTGACACACACACGCTCACTACAGACAAGCTCACTCTCACACACATGCTCACTGACACACAATCTCACTACAGACAAACTCAGTAGACAAGCTCACTGACACACATGCTTACTACGGACAAGCCTACTAGACAAGTTCACTGACACGCAAACTTACTACAGACAAGCTCACTCTCACACACATGCTCACTACAGACAAGCTCACTGACACACAAACATACTACAGACAAGCTCACAACACACACGTTCACTACAAACAAGCTGACTGACAAACACATGCTCACTACAGACAAGCTCACTAGACAAGCTAATTGACACACACATGCTTACTACAGACAAGCTCACTACATACAAACTCACTGTCACACACATGCTCACTAGAGACAGGCTCACTGACATACACATGCTCACTACAGACAAACTCACTAGACAAGCTCACTAACACATATATGCTTACTACGGACAAGCCCACTGACACATGCTTACTAGACGAGTTCACTAACACACAAACTTACTACAGATAAGCTCACTGACACACACATGCTCACTGACACACACATGCTCACTACAGACAAGCTCATTCTCACACACATGCCTACAGACAAGCTTACTGACATACATGCTGCCTACAGACAAGCTCACTGACACACGCTGCCTACAAACAAGCTCACAGACATACACATGCTCACTACAGACAAGCTTACTGACACACACAAGCTCACTGGCACACACACATGCTCACTACAGGAAAGCTCACTGACACATACATACAAGCTCACTCACTAGAAGGCATATACACACAAAATTACTATCATGAGCTGAAGCTTACCTTGAACTGAACGCTGTTGGAGTAATTTTCTGGCCTCTTCCAGCAGGTGAGGTCAGCAGCTTGCATGTGGGGCTTATGTGCGGGAGGTGGGGCTTGCAGATGGGCGGGTTTGCATGCAGAAGGTGGGGCTTGAATGTGGAGGTGGTGTTGGTAGGGAGCTTGAGAGTGCTCCATCCGGCAGTCTAAATGTGGCCTCACCAGCCCCCAGCAGCTCCTTCCTTAATCCCCTGTCTGAGGGGGAAATATTTAAAAGTGCATTAACGTAATAATCAGGGTGTCACTCCGGCTCTCGGCATTACTCTGTGGCGCGCGAGGGAGCTCAGCAGGAAGAGCTCAGCACTCTCGCTGCCTGCTTTGAGCGCCCGATCGCCTACATGCCTGCCTGCACGTCTACCTGCCTGTCTGCCCAACAGCCCGGCCATCAGCTAGCCCAGCAGCCCCACTGGACCACAGGTGAAAAATATCCACCCAGCTCTCCCAAAGGTAGTGAGGCTGGGTGGATTTAAATTATAGTTAAAAAAAAATAACAACAGTAATCTGTAAATGTTGGGGGGATATGTGTGTGTGTCTGCCAGTGAATGTGTGTCTGTATAGCTGTCAGTATGTCTGTGGGTGAGTGTGTGTGTGTCTGTCAGTCTGTGACAGTATGTGTGTCTGTCTGTGAGTCAGTGTGTCTGTGAGTGAGCGTGTGGTCCAGGCACTTAAGGATCATTTAAACAGTAGATTTATTTAGAAAAGTGTAATGTTTTGATCTACAAGACATCTTTCTCAAGCTCTTGGAGATCAAAACATTACACTTTTCCAAATAAATCTGCTGTTTAATTGATCCTTGAGTGCCTAGACCACAATTTTTTTTCAACTTTCACGATAGGAACAGGCAACCCGAGGACTGGTTGCACCAGGATTCTGATCAGAGTGCAGAATTCCTCCTCTTTGTTTATATACTGTGAGTGACCGTGTCTTTGAACAAGTGAGTGTGCATGTCTTTCAGTGAATGTGTATGTCTGTTAGTGTGTGTGTTTGTCAGTGTGTGACTGTCAGTGAGTGGGTGTGTCTTTAACAGGAAGAGGTGTGGTCTTGACAGGAAGGGGCGGGGCAAATTTATATTAGGGGTACCTGAGTTCCATCATGCCTAAGGCAGCACAGATCCAAAATACACCACTGCTGCTACCCACTCCATTTCTGTCATATTAACGTTTAATAGGTGGGTAGGGGTTCATAAGAATAACCATTTTACTACGTTAATGCTTATTGGCCGTGTGACGGACCACCTGGCACCTCGTCCGTAGTAAGCATGTGTGTCAGTGAGCTTGTCTGAGTTTGTCTGTAGTGAGATTGTGTGTCAGTGAGCTTGTCTGTAGTGAGCATGTGTGTGAGAATGAGCTTGTATGTAGTGAGCATGTGTGTGTCAGTGAGCTTATCTGTAGTAAGTTTGTGCTAGTGAACTCGGCTAGTGAGCATGTGTCAGTGGGCTTGTCCGTAGTAAGCATATGTGTGTCAGTGAGCTTGTCTAGTGAGTTTGTCTGTCCTCGCTGTCCTCCATCCACCCTGGTCCCAAGACCAGAATCCAGCTTCCAGTGGGTAGACCTCTCTTACAAAAGTACATAAATCCCATGAACAGAGCCTTTTAAAGTGCATTGGGCAAGGTATATTGCAGGGCCCATAGGCAGGAGGCAGGAGGCTGGCAAGCAGGCTCATCCAGGAGCTTGTGTCAAACGACCAGACCACAGGGCGTTTGTCACATCCCTTCCTACTAGTGGCCTCTCCATTCACTTCCTCCCCAGATGGTTTATATGTCAACAATCTTTCATAACACCTCACTTTGAGACTTGATCAAGGGAAATTCCATAACTTGCGTTCAAAAATTATTTGCTATTGTACCTAGAAACCCAAGGCAGACAAATAGCAAGACGATCACTACATGTCTAATGACTAGGCAATTTCAGCCATTTTTGCAATGCCGATTGTGAAATGTCAAAATTTTATTATTATATCTGTATTTTAAAAAAAATAAAAATAATTAGTGAGGTATGATTGTTTTTTCCTTTTGCAAACTTAAATTAAAGGGTTCGTCCAAACGTCATAACCACTAAAGCATATAGCCCGCTGTAGTACTTATGATGCCAGGATTACCCTGGTCCAATTCCTCAGTAATAGGGCAAACCGCTTAGCAACAGTGTGCCCTCTTACCTGGGTCTTTGCTGGGCTCCGAGGATCCTTTATCCCTGATCCAATCTCCATTCATTGGCTTACAGCATGACTGCTCTCAGCCAAAGAATGGCACACTGTGCATGACAATTTGTACATAATTTAAATTAGCCAGCCCCAGTGAGGCTGCCTGTGCTGGAGTTAAACACCTTAAGTGAAAGATTTCATACTGAAACACAGCACATACAGACTCCAGGTACCATTACCACTTCAAATCACTGCACGTAGCAGCTGGAGTAATTTTGTAAAAAAAAAATTTAAAGTGGATTTTTTAAATAAAAATGAGCAGGCTGGAACAGGTGAGTGAGTTGCCAGTTGTGAGCATAGCATAGCATAGTGCCCTATCAGCTTCTACCAACTGCATCTGTGGAGGTAGCAGGTTTAGCCCCGTGTGACTTTTGGCAGACAGGGCAAAGCCACTACAATGAAAGGTATTATAAACATTCCAACCATGACCACATTTTTTCCCTACAAACAGTCAGTGCAGGCAGGGTTTATGCACAGTTGCAAGACTCTGGAGGACTCTACACCTTGATGTCTGTGGGACTCCAGAGGCACCAGCAGCTTCAAATATCTGTTTGCTGCTATGTAGGGGTATTTTAGCAGCTGCTCTCTTGATCCGATGCATGGATCTGGCAGAAATCTTCCTCAATGTGCCTTTATCTGCTCGAACCCGTCTGTGCTTTGAATCAGCCACAAATCTCTTAATAGTGCAATGATCACGTGTAAGTTTTTGTGAAATATCTAATGTTTTCATACCACGTCCAACGCATTGAACTATTTCACTCTTTTCAGGCAGCAGAGAGATCCTTTTTCTTCCACATATTGCATGAAAATGATGCTCTGCTTAATAATGTGGAACACCCTCCTTTAGTAGTTTTTCCTTAATTTGGGCTCACCTGGCAATCTAATTATCACAGGTGTCTGAGATTGTTTTCAGTGATCAAAAGAGCCCTGAGACACAATGCCATCCATGAGTTAAACTGAAAAAGAAAATATTTAATCTTTATGACACTTAAATAGAATTTGCATAATACTTTGGAACAGGGTGTATAACACTACCCTCACTTCTGCCTTGAATGCTACAGCCCCGCTCCGAACATGCACCTCGAGGAGGGCATGCCCCCAGCCGTGGCATACTAAATCAAGATCCTACCATTGTGCTAAACGCTCCTGGGGGAAGTCTAGCACCCAGTCAGACTTTCTCCATTATAGATTCATATTGTGTTCATACAGCACAGCCCTTGCCCTCGCCAAACAGTCATACTTTTCCTCTCTCATGCTCCCGCAATCCCAGGCATCTCTTTGACACCTTTAATTATTTTAGTCACCCTGCTGTGGCCACCCCCCAAACTAACCTTCCTGCCAATAGCTTTGCATGCTACTTTACCGACAATATTGAACACGTAGATCATGCCTTTCCTACCCTTCAGACTTTCTCCCCGACTACTGAACAAGAAGTGGCTGCACTTCTTTTCTTTCGCCCCAACCGCTTGCCCAGCCGAACATATCCCATCTCACCTTATCAGATCTCTCTCCCCTTGTCTAGCGCCTTCCTTAACACACATCTGCAACTGCTCTCTCTCTTCTGGCATTGTCCCTGCTGACCTTAAACATGCCACTGTAGTACCTATCCTGAAAAAAACCCATCTCTTTACCCATCCTCCCACTCTAACTACCATAACCATATCTCTGCTCCCTTTTTCCTCAAAGTTTCTGGAAAGACTTGTCTTTACCTGTATGTCTCACTTCCCCAATTCCAAATCTCTCCTTGACCCTCTTCAATCTGGCTTCACCCTCTCCACTCTACTGAGACTGCTCTTATCAAAGTTACTAACGACCTAAACGCAGCTAAATCCAAAGGCCACTACTCCATACTAATTCTCCTTGACTTCTCTGCTGCCTTTGACACAGTTGATCATGCTCTCCTTCTTCATACTCTTCAATCACTCTCCCAACGCTCATTCAGCGTCTCCTTTTCTAAAGATACCTCCTCTCCTCGTACTGTCTCGGTTGGAGGTCTCAAGGCTCTGTCCTTGGTCACCTTCTATTTTCTCTTTATACTGCCTCTCTTGGCAAACTCATTACCTCTTTTGGATTCCACTACCACCTGTACGCTGATGACACCCAGATATATCTCTCCTCCCTGGACCTCTCCCCTGCCGTCCTGTAACGTGTCACTGCTTGCCTTTCTTCCATCTCTGAATGGATGTCCTCCCGCTTTCTGAAACTCAATCTTTCTAAAACTGAGACGATTGTCTTTCCTCCTCCTAATACTGATCCCCCCTCTTTTGCTCTCCCTTCAAATTAGTGGTATCCACATAAGTCCATCCTTGTAAGCGTGCTGTCTTGGCATCATACTTGGTTCTGGCCTCACCTTTAATCCTCACATCCAGTCTGTTGCCAAATCCTGTAGATTCCATCTTAAAAACATAGCCCGCATCCATCCCTTTCTTACGCAAGATGCTACCAAGGAGCTTGTCCATGCTCTAGTAATATCTTGCATAGATTATTGTAACCCTCTCCTAATTGGTCTTCCCAAAAGCCGTATTGCCCCTCTACAGTCTGTTATGAATGCTGCCGCCAGACTGATTTTCCTCTCTAGTCGGTCTTCTCACACCTCACCCCTCTGTCAGTCCTTACATTGGCTTCCTGTATCCTATAGGAGTCAATGCAAAGTGCTAACCCATACCTATAAAGCACTGAACAATTCTAGCGCCTCTTATATCTCCTCACTGACCCGCAGGTATGCCCCTTCTCAGTCCCTCCGCTCTGCCCGTGACCTTCTCCTGTCCGTTGCTCACACCCATACGGCCAACTCACGCTTGCAGGACTTCTTGCAGGCGGCCCCCTTTCTATGGAATAGCCTGTCTGCCTTAAAATACATCTCTTTATGAAAGCTTAAATCCTCTACCTTACATACCTGTCTCTTGCTCTCTCCTAAAGAGCAGCACTCTACTCTCTCCTCCAGCTCTGCTTCACTGCCACCTTATTTGATTGCTGTTTCCTGTCCTAATGTGTTTTATACCCCACTTCCTATAGACTGTAAGCTCATTTGAGCAAGGCCCTCTTCTACCTATCGTTCCTGTAAGTTTTCTTGTAATTGTCCTATTTATAGTTAAATCTCCCCTCTCATAATATTGTAAAGCGCTACGGAATCTGTTGGCGCTATATAAATGGCAATAATAGTAATAATGGGTTAGCATTTGAAATTACATCAACATTCTGTTGTTCTCAGTACAAAGGTTGAGCACTGAGTAATAATACAATAATGTTACTGTCTGATCTGCTCTATTTTGCCTGTATGCAGTATTATTTTTCATATACAGGACATGTCTGGACTTGCTTCCTGCATCGAGAAGCACAAATAACATAGGGCAAAGACTAAAAACTATAAACATAGCTCACACATAGTGATTTACACGTTTTAATAGTTTAACAATTTACCATTGAACAATTTGATGCCTTTCTCCTCTTTTAAGCTTTTAAATTCTATTTATTTTGAAACTGCTGCATTTGGTCCTGACCTACTGCAAATGGCATTCTGCTGGTGTCATTATGCAATGCTGACACACGATGAAGTGGGGATTTGCACACAAACAGTAATGCTTGTTATTGTTTCCCTCGACAGTTATTGGAAAATCTTTCTTTGCATTGTGATGATGTTCGGTGCTACAGAGAACCTGTCTACACTATTCTTTTCACCCTTAAGGATCTTTCCATTCACCCAGGCCCCTAAGAATCTGCCTATTCATCCTGAGCGTACCCCTTAACTGAGATCCTAAGAACCTGTCTATTTACCCATAAAATATCTGCCCCTTAAAGGACCACTATAGTGCCAGGAAAACATACTCATTTTCCTGGCACTATAGTGCCCTGAGGGTGCCCCCACCCTCAGGGACCCCCTCCCGCCCGGCTCTGGAAAGGGGAAAAGGGGTTAAACTTACCTTTTTCCAGCGCTGGGCGGGAGCTCTCCTCCGATCCTCCTCCTGGGCTGAATGCGCACGCGCGGCAAGAGCTGCGCGCGCATTCAGCCGGTCACATAGGAAAGCATTCATAATGCTTTCCTATGGACGCTGGCGTGCTCTCATTGTGAAAATCACAGTGAGAAGCACGCAAGCGCCTCTAGTGGCTGTCAATGAGACAGCCACTAGAGGAAATAGGGGAAGGCTTAACCCATTCATAAACATAGCAGTTTCTCTGAAACTGCTATGTTTATGAAAAAATGGGTTAACCCTAGCTGGACCTGGCACCCAGACCACTTCATTAAGCTGAAGTGGTCTGGGTGCCTAGAGTGGTCCTTTAACAGAGATCTCAAGAATCTGCCCATTGAAAAAATACCCCCCTTAGCAGAGATCCCCAAAATGTGCTAATTCAACCCAAAAGTGTACCCATTAGCTATAAGGTAGAGGAGAGACATAGGCAGAACTGCTGCCAGTGCAGCTGCACTGGGGCCTGCATGCTTAGGGGGCACATCAGTTGGCTCATGCACTTGGGCCACATGATGGCAAAGCGTTTTCAGGGCCCCTGTAATCTCCATAACACAGAGCTGCGTGGGAATGAGAAGGTAGAGAGGAGGGGAGACTGGAAGAGACTCTGACTCCCAACAGCCTTAGCCAGCTGACTGGACCTCAGGGAAGCTACCCTCCTGCACACAAAAGGTAGGAAACAAGAGGGTAGCTTAAATGAACACTATAGGGTCAGGAACACAAATATGTATTATTGACCCTATAGTGTTAATACCACCATCTAGCCATCCTGCTCCCACCTTGCAGAGGGCGGAGACACCAAATGGCAGTGCTGTACAGCACTGCCCCAGGAAGCACCTCTAGTAGCCATCTGAGGAGTGGCCAGTGGAAAACATATGTCTGAAAACATAGTGTTTACTGCAAAAGGCCTGAAGGGAATTATTCTACACACTAAAACAAATACAATAAGCTGTAGTTGTTCTGGTGACTATAGTGTCCCTTTAAAAGGTATCCATTGTACATGAGTGTTTGTATGTGTGTCAGAGTATTTGTTAGTATGTGTTAGTGTTTCTATCTGTATGTGTGTCATTGTGTATATCTGTGTATCTGCATGTGAGTTATTGTGTGAATCTGTATGTGTGTTGTGGTGTTTATCTGTGTATTTGCATGTGTATCTTTGTATCTGTGTCGTTGTGTATATCTGTGTATCTGCATGTGAGTTATTGTGTGAATCTGTATGTGTGTTATGGTGTTTATCTGTGTATCTGCATGTGTATCTTTGTATCCGGATGTGTGTCAGTGTGTTTTTGTATGTTTGTGTATGTGTATCAGTGCGTGTGCAGTGTATATGTATATGCGCATACATATCAGCATTCAAACTCCAACATTACATACAAATACAACCCTTCATTCAAACGAAAACACTACATACAGACACACCTCTACATTCAGAGGCAAACACTACATACAGACACACCTCTAGATTCAGAGGCAAACACTACATAAAAACACACCTCTACATTCAGAGGCAAACACTACACACAAGTAAACAACTGCTTTCATATGGCAATAGTACATAAAAACACACAACACAACATACACTCCTACATTCACATGTACATGTCCTATACAAAAACATGCTTACATTCAAACACTGCTCGTGTTAAATGCCATGCAAGGATGGAGAACTGGTAGATCCCCAGCTGGCAAACCATTGTGGGAGTTTTACAACAGACGGGGATATACTTTTTTCTATCCTGTGATAGGGAGGCCCACATAAATTCCTGCACCAGGGTCCTCTCTACTTTAGTTCTGCCACTGAGAAGAAGTCTCCTTTAAAGGTTTCACTCTTGGAGAAAAGGTCAGGTTTTGGAACCCTTAGAGGGACACTGTATCTGCTTCATCTAATTAATCTGGTTATAGTGTCTGTAGTCCCCTGTTGCCATCATTTTACTCAGCATGAAACAATTTTTTATGTTTTTATGTTTTAATACTAAACAAGAGTCCCCAGCAGCCCCTCCCCTCTGTGCTGCTTTGAGAAATGAGGAAGTACCGGTATTAGCCTGAGCAGCAATGGGCAGATGTGATTGGCTGAGAGTGTCAGCTGACTGCTTTTAGAACTCCTATATAAATGGGTATGACTACAAGGAAGTGTGTAATCTTTGCATTAGCCAGACCTCCAGAAGGGGCCAGGGATCATCATTCAGTGTTAAACTGCGCTAAAATGGTTTAACTCTTAATGGAGGGACAGTGCCAGGCACTATAACCAATTCAAAGAGATGAAATGGTTAAAGTCCTTAAAGTGTCCTTTAATAGAAATACTACAAATCTGCCCATTCACCCTGAGAATGTACCCTTTAACTACAGGTGTAAGAGGCTCAGAGGGAATAGGCAACTTCTTTGGATTTACATTAAAGGGTACACACTCTGGGTGGATTAGCAGATCCTTAATATCTCCAGTAAGGGTAAAGAAGGTAATTTACCCTTAGATCCTAAGAGTTTAGCCACTAATTCACCCTGAGAGTGTACCCATTAATGGAGATTCAACCAAGTTGCATATTCACCCTGAGCCTCTACCAAGTAATGGAGACCTTAAAGGGACACTGTAGGCACCCAGACAACTTCAACTCATTGAAGTAGTCTGGGAGTACTGTCCCAGTCCTCTCTGCGCAGGTAAATATTGCAGTTATCAAGAAATATACTTAACTCCACCTCTAGTGGCTGTCTATCAGACAGCCACTAGAGGGACTTCTGGGCTTTAGGCGATTTTGGTCACCTAACTGACGCTGGATGTTCTCATGCTATGCATAGGGATGTCCAGCATCATCCAAAACCCCATAGGAAAGCCTTGAATAATGTTTGCCTATGGTGAAATCCTGCATGTGCATTAGGTCTCCCCTGGCAGGGTAGGCGAGAAGGTGAACCCTGGTTTTTAACCCCTTCTGCACCACCTTCTGTCCATTCACAATTTATATCCATCATGTCACATCACTGGATTGTAAACGTAAAGCAGCTCTCTCACCCACCCTGAAAAATTAGTATTTCATAAAGATAGGCTACTCATTTCTCTGAAATTCCAATCCAGTCAAGAGATATACACAGGCATTATTTCTCCTTTTCCTGACTTTCCTTGACACAAGGCGGAGCTACAGAGTAAATCCTGAAAGCCATCAACAGCGACTGCTGCAAGGAACTGGCTATGTCTATAAAGGATCCCCCATAGATTTCAATGCTGTATTCTAGTGCATGCGCGAGAGTACAGCAGTGACGTCGGCGCTGAGGAGGACCTCGCCGGGTGACAAGTTCATAGAAACATAGAACGTGACGGCAGATAAGAACCATTCGGCCCATCTAGTCTGCCCAATTTTCTAAATACTTTCATTAGTCCCTAGCCTTATCTTATAGTTAGGATAGCCTTATGCCTATCCCACAGATGCTTAAACTCCTTTACTGTGTTAACCTCTACCACTTCAGCAGGAAGGCTATTCCATGCATCCACTACCCTCTCAGTAAACTAATACTTCCTGATATTATTTTTAAACCTTTGCCCTCTAATTTAAGTAAACTCACACTTACCTGCCCCCCTTGCCCACCAGCGGCGTTGTCACCGTTGGGGGACAGTGCTGCTTTAATTGACTACCATGGCTAACTAGACTATAAAAAATGAAATATTTATTACTCAGTGCTTCACCTTTGTACTGGAAAAAAAAAAGTACCTGTTTTTATCTGATTTAGTCCATCAATACACAAGCCTTGTTTTATTATCCCTTATATAAAGGACATGTCTGGGCTTGCCTCATGTACCAGGAAACACAGGTAACACAGTGCCAGAAGCTATAAAAGGCAGTATGTGTATTCACACAGCTACATTCCCAGTCCCATAGCTGCAGCAGTCTCCCTGGAACTATCTGAGCTCCCTCAGTACCTCCCTGGCCCTTTTCACACCACTGGTTTGGAAGCTGCAAGGTTTGGGTTTGACCTTCTACAAATGGCGTCCCGGTGAGGGACATGACGTAACTTCCGCCCAGTTGCTGCCTTTTTTCTCCTATATACTGCGCACAGCTTCCGGTTTCCCTCCTTTTCTACAGCGGCCGCATCCTGCGAACATGCCTGTGAGTGCGGGGAGCGAACAGCGGGCCGGGGGAGGCAGCGCTGCGGGCCGGGAATCACTGGGGGGGCCGGGGATTGAGGCCTCGGCTCTGCCTGGGGCTCCCTGTGGGGGTCTGGGCCGGCAGAGAGCCGGGGGGATAGGGAGAGACAGCTCGGGGGAGAGAGGCCGCAGCCTGGCCAAGATGGCGGAGCAGGCAGCGAGGAGTAAAGCAAGGCCGGCTCTGGGGACTCCCTGATCTGGGGGTCCAGCAGCCCAGGGCTGGGATAGGGGGGCCTGGACACTCACACAGGGGGGTGAGGGCTGTGTGCACCCCACTCAGGGGCCATGCTGGACAGAACATAAAAATGTGCAATCACTTAGGCTGATCAGCCAGGGGTGAGCTGACAAAATCTACCTGAATATGTCAGCAGTGAATATCACTAAGTATTAGCACATTCTTTTTTTTTTTGTTTTCTTTTTTTTTTAAATGGGATATTGTGCAAGAGTAGCTAACTAATACTATTAAATAATAATTTTAATGGTGCTACAGTGATTTGGTTTGCAATATCAACTTCCAGATTAACTCCCCATGTTTCCTGCTGTAGCAAAAGTTAAAATCTAAATGAAACTGGAGGATAAAGTGGCTGGTCTTTAAAAAAAAAAAAAATCTCCATTCTCTAATGCAACTGGCATTGCTTTGCTATATTTTTATTTGCAGAGATTAGGGAATAACCTGTTTTGTGAGAGAGGGGACATTATTTTGACTATAAATTCCTACCTATCCATGTAATTCTAAATGGAGAAGGCTTTTCTAGTTTAACGTCTGTATTTTATTTTCTTGTGAAACAAATTCTTTATCCCCCCTAAACAGCTCGCTAAGGATCTCCTGCATCCCTCTCCTGAAGAGGAAAAGCGCAAACACAAGAAGAAACGTCTGGTTCAGAGTCCTAACTCTTACTTTATGGACGTCAAATGCCCAGGTAGCCTCAATATCTTAATGGCTTTGTACCCGATAAGTCAGCTGTGTCCTATATCGGGCCTGTGACATTGCTATGCTTCATACTGATTTTAAAATTAAATACTTTAACGTTTGTTTTCCTGCAGGCTGCTACAAGATAACCACGGTGTTCAGCCATGCCCAGACTGTGGTCCTGTGTGTGGGATGCTCTACAGTCCTCTGCCAGCCAACAGGCGGCAAGGCCAGACTCACAGAGGGTAAGCGTCTTTAACGTGTGCTTAACTTGCGGAAACCTTAATTCTTCGTTCCCCCTGGCTGCTTGTGGCGTGATAACAGGATTTTACACTGATTCCTGGTCATTGATCTTATCACTAATATTGTGGATGGAAAGAGACTCATGAACAACTTTGGAAGCAGGCTTTTTGGATTAACCCATATGGTACTATTCTTGCCAAAGTGATAATATAAACCCAAATGTTGTACTTTAACTAAACGTTGCATCTTGTATAGCAGAGTAGTTTCCTTTGAATGTTATGCCCTGTGTGGGAGAGTCTTTAACACTTTGTATCCAGTGTGTGTTACCTCTCGATATATTCACAATATATGGTCTAAATTGTCAAAGATTCAAATTTTGTTAACGAAAAGTGTTGGCTAGTTAAGTTTTAATTTTATCTATGAAAGCTATGAACATTTTATATTTCTCTGTATCATCTGAATTGAGCACAAAGCATTCTGTAGCAGTATAACTTCTGGCATCCTATTGTCCTGGCCTTGTCTGGTTGTGCATTTATGTCAACAGTTGCTTGTCAAAGATTACTTATTGCTCATTAACATATCATTCATTTGACAAACTTGATGTGTATGTATCGGCCAGCAAATAAAAATGAAAGCAAATTAAGAAGCCACGAGGCATGTACAGACTTTAACGGAAACCACTATAGAATGAATATAATTTCTAGCACCAAAGCACTCCACAGCATTTACAACCATATGATCGGGATAACAAGCCAATGACCTAAAAAATGTCAGACAACAGGTGAGAGCCCTACCCAAGAAGAAAGCTCTACGAGGAAGGGGTATAGACACAGAGGAATAACAGATGTATATTAGCAACATGACAGCATTAACAAAATCCAAAATACCAGAGTATTGCAGTATGCCATGATACCATTTGTTTTATTGGACTAACCTAATATTTCAAAAACAAGCTTTTGAGAGTTTTCCCCTCTTCCTCAGGTCTGAAGCAATACTGATCAGTCTAATAGTTTAACACTTAAAACAACTGATGTTAGAGAAGGGGGAGGGAGTGGGATGTCATTTTCTGGCTATTCTCAGCCCACATGCACCTTTCACTTTCAAGCACATCTCCTACGAAAGTCTACATATGTAGTTATTGTTTTGCCTTTTGTTAATGCTGTCATGTTGCTAATATAAATCTGTTATTCCTAAATCTATAACCCTTCCTCGTAGGGCTTTTTTTTTTTTTTTTTTTTCGCAGCGGCCTTCACCTGTTGTCTCTGACATCTTGTATGTTGTTGGCTTGTTATCCCCATCCTATGGTTGTATATGCTGTGGAGTGTTTTGATGCTACAGAAATTATATTCATTCTATAGTTGTTTTTTTTTTTTTTTTTTCGTTAAAGCCTGTGCATGTTTCTTGTGGCTTCTTCTTAATTTGCTTTAATTTTTATCTCCTGGCTGGTACATTTACAAACGTGCTCAAAATTTACACTTACAATTGCCCAATAGCCTTTGGCAAGTTGAAATTCACCCCCTGTAAATGCACAGTATAGTAGTGTATGAATTTAAATTTTTAGGTCTGCTTACTAAGAATTGGAATACCGCACAAATTAGTAATTTTATATTGATGGCAAAGTTCTAAAATAAGATTCTATCATCTAGCCAAACTTAATTTATTTTTATTTTTCCTTTCCATAGGATGCTCTTTCCGACGGAAGCAGCATTAGGTTTTCCTGACGTAGATGCAGCAACTACACTCTATGCAGGGACTCTCCTGCAAATCGTGAAGGACAAGGCCTAAGGGGGATAGATCGACCTGATTCCATTGTGGACACTGTAACCTCTTATCCCTTGTCTATCAATAAATTTTGGATACGATTAGCTTTATGCTCTTTCAAGTAATTCTTTCAAGGGATGATTTTCCTATTTTGGGGAGATGAGGAAAGATCTGTTGCCATCCCCAAGGAGATTAATTTCTGATGTGGGATTGTTGGGCGTCATCGATGTCATTCAATACCTTACTGATTATATCAATTAAACATCATTCCAATATCAGGAATTTTTTGTTGTCAGTGAATGAAACTTTACAAAACCAGGATTATGCAATTTATATTCTAAAACTAAACCGACTTTATGAACGTGGGTTAGTATACCACAAATCAGTATGTAGAAATAGCCTGGCTGGAGTAGTTTATACATTATCTGGTGCTAGGGATATTTTTTTTAAAACAAAACACTAGTGTATCTTTTAGTCTCTGAATTACACGTTGAAAAGCATTAGGTGACTAGCAAGGTTAGGACAGATTTTTAAGCAAATTTTTCAAACTATGGCTTTTATTTCAGCAAAGTGTAGAATACTAGGAATAAATAATTGGTCTCTAAAATATGCTTTCAGACTTTAACTTTTTTTTAAATGTATTTGTCTGTTACCTGGAGTTTTACATAATCATTGAAAGCAGGAAGGGGTTGCGTTTTAATTTACATTTTGTCTTTTGTAAACAAACTGTATGTTGGAGGTCCAGCAGCACTGAAACCTGTTCTGGGAAAGTGGAAACAGAGCAGTAGTGTATTTCATATTCCTGATTTTAGAAGTAGAACTCCAGCTGCTGGAATGCAATGCTTGTGCTGTGTGGTAGCTAGTGTTTGAGCAAGTAATTATGCCCCCTTTTGAATACCCACTTACAAAGCTGTAATAAGGGAGGGGTTGAGGAACATCTGGATATTTTATGGTCAAGAAAAGACTGGAGAAAACGGGGTCACTCGGAGATAGAAATAGACGCCATATTAAAACGTGAGTTTGTCAAGTGCTTTCACCATATCCTGCCTTCATACGACAACGTATGTGGATGTTGTTTTTTTTATTTTATTTTTATGTCTGTGTCCAAGAGCAATCTCATGTATTATCCACTGTTTTCATAGGATGGTATCATGGGTTCTGCATGTGTTAAAGTAGGACCTTCTACAGGTATTCTGTATGGATAGCATATCAAGTTGTTCATACAAGTATTTACCGTCCTGCATTGATAAAGCAGAAGTCATGACAGCAAAACTGATTGACACAGCTTCTTGCAGCTGCCTTACACCAATCAGACACAACAGACAGATCCTTGTAAGATAAAACAAAATGCAATCGCTTACTTAAAAAAAAAAATCCATCCTACTCTCATTCTGGCACTCCATGTATGTGATGTACGCAATGTTTTTCTGAGGGTCAATCAGATTTTTGTCTACAAGACTAAACAGAGTTTGAAGGGGATAACTAGCTGCCCCTATCTGGGTAGGGTGGCAGTCTTTTGATGTCTAGAAAGCTCAAAAGCATGTACATATTCCATCATAACTATGGCAATCAGCCATAGTGCTTAGAGACCCCATTTAAGGAAAGCCTTAACTATGTGGTTTAATATTTTAAGTAGTTTCTTTTAAAAGGCTACAATCAACAATGACCTGGAACATCAATCATACTGTGTTAGGAAGGAGTACAAGACCATATTTCTACTCCAAAACTAGGTTTAAAAAAAAAAAAAAAATCGGGGTGTGGGAATTTGGAGCCAACAGGGTAAGACTGGTTGAACTCCAACGGACAGGCACAATTAAGCTTGTAAATCAAACTCCTAAACAAGGTAGAACCTAGATAAATAGTTACTCTCATGGCAACTACCAAACAGAACCTGAATATTGTGCTTAAGGACACTTATCTGACTAGAAAAAAAATATCTTGGGGTTTTAGCAAATCCTCCTGGCCCATTTCAGCTGCGACCCACTAGCATGTAATGGCTGGGAATGCAGCTGATTTCTGCTCCTGAAAAGCCCTCCATCGTCAGAAGCCCTGTCTCATGCTGGACCAGTGAATGTTATCCCAGTCCCTACTGCAGACAAGAAAGGGAAGCAGCAGTACCTCGTTTACAATGCCCATCTCCACAGTGGCCCATGTGGATGGAGGCCTTTAATCAGACTTGGTGAGCTAGCACAGAGTTCCTCTGCCACACAACCAGCCCAGCTATAGAACAGGCCTCTTCCCTGACATATGGCAAGTCCCAGAGAATGGCAGCTTTCAGCAGTTGCTTACCTAACCTGCAAGCCATGGAGGGATGGTCACTCTGATGCCGCTCACACCCTGGGAGGGTTAGTCCTGTTGGACTCTTCAGGAAAACAGATTTGCACAAGAGTGGACAGATCCGTGGGCATTGTGTCCTGGGGCCGAAGGAGCTCAGCTATTGTTTCTTGAAAGCTAGGTACTAGGTGTTTAAGACTCTGGCCTTTGAGGGTGAGCAGATTCCCTGCGTTGGGTGATTTAGGGACCCTGAGAGCCTGTGTGGAAAGTGTCTACTTACATTTTGCGTGTATTTTCTTCAGTTGCGGTCCTTATTTTAATAGATTTTATTTACAAATGTATCCCGAACAATTCATGTGTGACTGCTGTTCTCCCCCATTGCTCCCTACCCGTCCAAAGCAATGCAGGAGGTGAGTTTGGATGCTTGGTTGTCTTTAAATATTTTTCAGCTATTTATGCCAAGTCATTTGCTGTATGATCATTTTGAAAAGTCTGGAATCGCCACAAAAGAATGCTGTTATGAAGGTCCTTTACTCTGGCTCAGACCCAGTAGCTAAAGCTGGAGTAAAGGTGTCTGGATACCTCTACCCTGAATCAGGCAGCCGTGGTTATAGCATCCTACAGTGGTTTGGAGACCCTCTCTGATGTTAAGCAGTGATTGCTTTTCCCCACACGTTACTCAATACTGAATGGTGGGGGTGTAGGATGGAGATTTATTGCACACACACAACATATATTCATACACAAATGTGGATTCCCACACAAGGGGTACCTCCATGCAATGCAATGGCCCCGGCCTCACTCTGTCTGGGGTCTTGATAACACCATCCCCAGCTAACAAGATAGACTTCCTGCTGTGCCTTGCCAGACATAAAAACAAGATGTACAATATGTCCCCCAGAACCCTCTTTCCCTAGACAGCATCCCCTACACATTCCAATGACCCTGGATAGCTTGTCACCAAGCACCCTTATTGTCCAAATATCGCTCCGATCAGTTCATCTGCACCCAAGTTAGAGCGTGTTAAAGTTTGCCTGAGTCACGGCCATTCTTCAATCACGCACAGTGTTCCAGGCGTGCGCCTGGTTTGTCCCGGTCTTACATAACGGAGTTCCTTGGGCTCTGGGGAAGACAGCCCCCTCACACATTGTAAGGAAAATAATAAATATGGCAACATTATCTCTTGAGTGGGATAGATTTTCAGTGACATTCTAACAGTCAATATAAGTATTTTATAAAGATTCTATCTTCATGAAATACTAATTTTTCATAGATAAGTGGCAGTCCAGCCTTAAGTTTGTGTACAAGTCTGTGTGTATATATAAATGTGTGTATGTACGTGCATGTCATTTTCCTAACAAAATTGTTTACCTTTTCACCCAAGGTGCCATGTAACCTAAGTATGCCTCTGCCGGGTTTCCAGTTTCAAAATAGAAGCCCAGCACTACATGTATACCCTCTACTGGTGCTAATTGGAAACTACAACTAAATCTTTCCATGTATTCACACACAAAATAATTAAAACGGTGTTCTTCGGATGTAAAATAATATTACAGAAAGTTTTCATTAGTTACTGGTACATACATTTTCTTCTGGTGTAAATGTTTAACTTTAGCAACAACTCCAAGGTAGGCAGGTAAAGCTTATTTGCACAGAGCCCTTGTCACCTACTGTCCCAGTATGTTAATCATGCTTTGTTGGAATATTGTGATTGTTTTGTTTACCTATTGCACAGCACTGTGGAACATGTTGGTGCCAAAAAAATAATTGTAAGCTTTTGTCTTGAATTGGCTTATCATACAGACATACTGATGTTGAGGGAAAACTTCAGTGTATTTCAAATGTTAACTTATTCAATTCTGCAATTTTGCAATTTTTTTACCTATGCAATATTTAAAAATCTTCACAGATTTACCAACCTTTGATGTATTTATTGAATAACCTTGAAACATGAGATTTTTGGATTTATTCATTAAAACATCAAATTTTCATGAACTGAATATTACAAATTTCCAGATCTAATAGCCAGGCAATGACTAACAGAGCTGGAGAATGTTTGTAAAATAGCACTTTTTGCCTATAGTCTGCAATTTGTGTTTAAAGGAACCCTTTCGTGTTACGAATACAAAGATGTATAATTAACAATAAAAGTGTACCTCTGTCCACACAGCCCGTGTCACCCCCCTGAGTCGTCCATGAAAGGATTAAAAACCCTTTCAGTGACTTAACCTGATTCCAGCTGGGTTGCACTCCTACTTAACCCACATCAGCCGATGAGAGGGGACTAATGCGCATGTGCAGCAAGCTCCACACCACCTTTAGAACTTCCCCATAGAATAGCATTTACTCAATGTTTTCCCAAGGGGATTTAGGAGACACTGGACATCCTCATACAAAGTGCTGTTAATATCAGTGAAACTACAGGAAGCGCCTCTAGTGGCTGTTTGGTAGACAGCCACTAGAGGCAGCCTTGGCACTTTCTCTAAACCGGCAATGTTTTAATTTGTAGGACTAAGGGAGACAGAGACACTGCACCCAGACCACTTCCATGAGATATATTCATCTCAATTCTCTGTTTAATGAATATATCCCATTGTGCTCTCACCGGTTGATGCCATTTCCTGTGCATGTCCTGCAGAGGTCCACAGCTGTTTCCTGTAAAGGAAGTTACAATGAAAAAAAAAAAAAAGCCCTTTTTGCAGAACTCAAATATTTAAATACCGACATCTTTGTTTATGGGAGTTGAGGAACTATAAACGGCTGGATATAGAGACGGGCTGCAATCATTATTTAGGCAGAGAGCAGTGGCAAAAGCCTATATATAAACAAATTCATACATATGACCAAATGTAGAAATTACACCCACACTGATTGATTAAAACCATCTTTCTACACACTACTGGCATTACAGAGGTTGTGTGTTCACTCAGACCCAGCAGCTGGTCAAACATAAATGACTTTTCAGGGGAAGTATTTGCCACTGGAGGTTACAGCTTGAGTGCTTGTACTTTTACTCAAACCATGATACATTGTTTTTATCCTAGAGTAACCCTAATACCTCTATTGCAGTGTTGAGTCCAAGTTCTCCCTGCAGTCTGATCCTCCACAGATGAAATCACACCCCTGGCTAATGATGTTGAGGTGGTTATATCTCTGGCAGCTAAGGGGTTAATCTCTGTATGCAGTGTTTCAAAGCAAAACGCAGCACTCACACACTCAGGTGTAAGTGAGTGATGGGAAGTGATCACTTCCTGTCCAGACACAGATAGTGGAGGAGCTGGGACCGCAGTGAGCATTACACCAATCAACACTGTTCCTGCAGCTCTACTATCAAGACAATGGCCATGGCTCTTTGTACTTCCCTGTTCCCATCAGTCCTCTTAAAGGGTTTTTATATCCGGTTACCTTACGTTTAATAGACTTAACATTCTTTTATTAGGATCTTGTTTAAATAAAGTTTATCTTTTGTTGTTTTGCCATTACCTTTGAATGATTCTACTTACGAGGTAATTTCAGTAACGAGGGTTTCTACCCTTGTTAGGCAGATTCCTTTACCATGTATGTATGTATGTATGTATGTATGTATATTATAATTAAAGGGACACTATAGTCACCAGAACAACTACAGCTTATTGAATTTTTTCTGGTGTGTAGAATCATTACCTTCAGGCTTTTTGCTGTAAACACGGTCTTATCAGAGAAAATGCAGTGTTTACATTACAGCCTAGTGATAACTTCACTGGCCACTCCTCAGATTGCTTTTATAGATCCTTCCTGGGTCATGGCTACCTAAAATGCATCCAAACATTCAATATCTCCTCCCTCTGCATGCAGACACTGAACTTTCCTCATAGAGATGCATTGATTCAATTAATCTCTATGATGAGATGCTGATTGACCAGGGCTATGTTTTAATCATGCTGGCTCTGCCCCTGATCTGCCTCTTTGTCAGTCTCATTCAATCCTATGTGGAAGCACTGTGATTGCATCAAGCTACTACTTCTGATGTCAGCAGACAGCTTGTTTTTCTGAGTCCAACAGCATGCAGAGTTACAGCTTCAGGCTTGAATACAGTAAGATTTTGCTATATTTATGGAGGCATGAGGGGCCCAGAGGGACTAGATGGTGGTTTTAACACTATAAGGTCAGGAATACATGTTTGTGTTCCTGACCCTATAGTGATCCTTTATCTTGGTTCATGCCCACATTACCTCTCGGACCATATTTATGACCACAAATTAGATTTTTCCTGATATAGTCTTCCTCTTTTTCTTTATTAATAGACTTACTCAACATCTTTTCTTAGCCACTACATAATCTCAGTGGAGCTAAACTCAATAGGCAGCAATTTCCCAGAGCATCTGCATTGTAAAGACTACTTATCGAGCGGCACTGTGATTGGACAGCCACAGAATATTTGGGAAGGATTGGAAGGGGAGGGCTTGCAAAGGCTGCAGACAAAATATCTAACATTTGCAAATTGTTTTTATGTATACCCCACATAAAAAAAAGTAACAATAAATACCTGTGTGTTTTTATTGGGTATATCTACCAAACAATGATTTATATTTGTTCTATTTAGGCAGTAGATTGTTTTCTTCCTATAGAAGCTATCCTTTACGCTTGACTGAAAAGTAATAGGATGCTCTCCATCATGTGCACAAAGTTTTAGTTTTTTAAATTCCAGTTAAATTAAATTACAACTCTTTTGCCTCAAGATTCAGCACATAATCCAAGTAGACTGTTTACTTTAGAAACCAAAGGTCTGACCTAAACTCTCTCAAAGGGAATTAGAGCGGTATATGAGGAAGCCAGGTAAGATGGCCAAGCATTCAAAGTCCTTTAGCGTTCCATTATAATAGCTGCTTACTTTTATCTTTTCTGTCTCCATTAAGTGCATCAGGTATTTAAATTACTGACAAGAATAAGAATATGGGGTGTGATCACATTGCAGTCTTTTATTTCCTGATGTAAAAATAGAAGCTTTAGAAATATTTGAATCCCTAAATGGAATCAGGTTTCCAATGTTCATCTTAGCACCAGCCCAAACTCTAAGTGGGTCTATCACAGGGATAGGCAACCTTCGGCACTCTAGATGTTGTGGACTACACCCCTCGTAATGCTTACATCCATAATGCTGGCAAAGCATCATGGGAGGTAGAGTCCAAAACATGTGCCAAAGGTTTCCTATGCCTGCGTCTATCACATCAGCTATCTCCTATTGTTTCTTCTCTTCCTCTCCCAAAATCCTTTTTTTTTTTTTCCAATCCTGATCGAATTCTCTTTAAAATATAAGAAATTAGGGTCTATTTTTCCCATACCTGACAAATCGAGACAAGGGGTGAAGTTTAAGTCAAGCTCCGTTTCCTTTGCTATATTAAGCGATCAAAGGAATTGAAGGAAGAGATTGCTTTAAGCTCCTCCCTTTCTCAAGTTTTGTCAAGTGTATGAAATATACTGTCCCTACTATGTTTTAAAAAGAGAAACATCAGAAATTAAACACAGATTCAGAAAGAGGAAACAATAGGAAAAAGTGAAGTTTGAGGTGACAGTCACTTTAAGAAGGGGTTGGGATATTTATAAAAATGATGAAAGTAAAAAAAAAAAAAAAAAAATATGACCATTCATAACATGATTTTCCATCTCCCCCCTCAAAGTGCAGACAAGATACACAGACTGTTTGAAAAGTGGCACATGAAAATTTATTTGCTCAAATTGCACCAAAGCGAGTCCCAGAAAGCTGCCTCCTCCCTCTCCCTTCACCCAAACAGTGAGAAGTCTGACACGTGTGCAAGTTAAAAACAATCCCACGGTAATAAAGAGGCAGTGGTACTTAGCAATGCTGGCGTTTTGAGATGGGCACTGTGACATGATTGTGGCCACAACTGTATGGGATTATAATTCTTTTTCTTTAAGAAAACATTCTTTAACTTGCCTGATAAGAGCACATGATTAACCTGGAATAAGAATCCCAGATGAGGGAGGGGGGCCCGTGGATACATTAAAAAACATTTTTGTAGTAGGATATGGCTTTCCCAACCTGATGTCTATTAAACAAACAAGTTAATCCTTTGCTCTCCACCCCAAAAGTGATAAAGAGGTTATGGGGGGGGAAAAAATAAATCAATCCATACACTACGTTCTCACAAGAGCAGATTATATTAAGAGGTTCAAATAATCCATGATGCCCAATGCCAGACACAGCTAGCCTTAATACCATGTAGGGTTCACAGGGCAGTAATATGTCTGAAAATGACTCCCAAGACCAGACTGGACTCACAGACATAAGAAAAGACCTATGGTGAGGTATACTCCCTACCTGTGAGAAGTACAGGAGGATTATCACCATTTACAGGCTTTCATTTATTTCTCTACAAGCCCCTGGCACCAACTCACATCACCAGTTCCATGGGAAAGCCCAATTACATATCCAAAAAGAAACTAAACAGATTCAAATCACCCACCAATTTTGGCACCACATGGCAATGAAACCAGCCAGAAACAGAGCAGCAACATTATTTGGTCCATAAAAATATCAGTTAGTCTCCGGATGCATTATTAGGAGGGGTTACTGGGCACAGTCAAAAATGGGGTGGGGGAACCAGTCCACATAAAGAAATCCTTGTTGGGAGTGAGGAAGTGGTAGTGCACAGGTTATAACATGAGAGAAAAAAAAAGGGTTCTGGTCCCCTTTACATTAGATTAAAATACCAAGCTTGCACAGACAGGACTGTCAACTGGTTTAGAGTCCATTGGCAGAGGAAAATGGCAAAATTGCCAACACAAAAGACTGGACCCAGCTGCTGGAAGTATGATGGTGGGAGAGGTTGAGAAACAGTGGTGACGGTTCGCAGACACACATAGGGCTGTGGGAGAGGTGCTGGAGCGACAATGATGGTTGATAGACACATCCCCCATCTACATGTTGTGAAGTTCCTGCATTGTTTCTTCCAACATCTTCTGCATCTTGGAGTTTTCCTCCTTGGTGCATCGTAGCTTATCTGGCAAGAGGGAAAAAGGGACATTAATCAGGATGGATGTCAATGATAAAGCAGCATGGAGGAACAGCAATGGAACGAACTCTTTATAAATCACAAAGCCTACCTTACTAAGTCAGAAGGAGAGTGGAGGTTTGGCTCTTGGGCAGTGAGAGCCAATGTAGTAATAGCCCTCAAATCTTACACCTAAATTCACTTTCAAATTCACAGAAAGCGCTC